GCCAGCTCCTCCTGAAGCCACCCCCCAAAAACAGGGGAAATTCCCCCTCCCATGCGAATTGTATCCCCTTAATGCCTCAGGAGGGTATGGTTTGCATGATTTTCCACAGCCCACTCTGGATTCTTTGAAAACTAGAACTTTTGTTTGTAAAAAAGGTGTCTTAAGGCCTAAAACAGGCCCTAGAGGCAAATGCACAGTGCAAATTATGTTCCCTTAGCAGCTTCCACAGGGTGTCAGTTATTTTTGTTGTTGTTGTTTAGTCATTAAGTCATGTCCGACTCTTCGTGACCCCATGGACCAGAGCACGCCAGGCCCTCCTGTCTTCCACTGCCTCTCGGAGTTGGGTCAAATTCATGTTGGTCGCTTCAATGACCCTCTCCAACCACCTCGTCCTCTGTCGTCCCCTTCTCCTCTTGCCTTCACACTTTCCCAGCATCAGGGTCTTTTCCAGGGAGTCTTCTCTTTTCATGAGATGACCAAAGTATTGGAGCCTCAGCTTCAGGATCTGTCCTTCCAGTGAGCATTCAGGGTTGGCGGCCAGCCTTCTTTATGGTCCAGCTCTCACTTCCATACATCGCTGCTGAAAAATCCATAGCTTTGCCTATGCAAACCTTTGTCAGCAAGGTGATGTCTCTGCTTTTTAAGATGCTGTCTAGGTTTGTCATCGGTTTCCTCCCAAGAAGCAGACGTCTTTTAATTTCGTGGCTGCTGTCACCATCTGCAGTGATCATGGAGTCCAAGAAAGTAAATATTTTGGGGCAAAAAGTTCACAACCCCTTGGCAATTGCCTGCTATAATGTCTATCGAGCAATGGTGTATCTCTTTGCCTACCCGTCCTGCATTCCTTAGTCCTTCAGCTCCTTAGGCTCCTACTTTCCAGATTGTCTCCTATGTCCCTGCTTCTTTCAATAAATTTCCCTACCATTTCTTCCTGGCCCACAGTACACACTCTGTCACCTCAAGCACTGCAAGCTTTGGCAGAGAGCCTTGGGAGTTGCTTTTCCTTGGTATGTTTCTCTTTCTCAACCATCATTTTGCAACTCACTTTTCCTTCAGGTGTGAATGAGTTCCTGCCTCATCACCTTTATTTCAGCCTCCTTGTTGGAGTTGCCTTTCTCTTTGCTTAGCTGTGCCCTATGATCTCAGCCTGTTGTGAAGTGTTCTAACCAAAACCAAACTAACTTCTCTCCTTTAAGGAACCTGGATTGCAAAACTTTTGAGTCCCTGGAACAACTGACTATTGCTTCTATAGCAGCAAATCCAATAAATTGTTGACAGCTTCGCATTGAGTGCTGTGTTGCACAATATCTGCCAGAGTCTTCTTTCTTACATGCCTCAGATCTTTTCATTGCCAGATGTGGTATTCAGCCTGGGCCTTTGCTCTCTGTAGTTATTTATTTATTTAATTTGATTTATTTATTTTTCATTAAACTTCTACCTCACCTATCTAGACCAAAGGTCTATTCTTTGGTAGACACACCACAATTCAATAGGCTATGCTTTGGTAGACCACACCACAATTCAATAGGCTATGCTTAAGTTCTGTTGGACCCTAATGGGCATCAAATGCATCATTATGGAATTTAAATATTTATTTTTTTCTGCATCACATCCAATGGGTCAGGGTGGACAGTTGGTTGAACACACAGGGGCAATTTTTACCTTTCCTTAGATCTTCACAGGCTGCACTGTCCCAAATAGCAACTCAGAAGCTTTAGGGAAGCGTATTTTGCCTTTCAAAATATTATTTTGGTGTCCCTCCCACAGTGTGCCTGTTTCAAATAATCCTTTTTAAAGTAACTCAAAGTGAATTGGGGGTTATGTTTTGGTTTCTAAAAAAGGCCGTGGCTGGCCTGAAACAGCTCCTTTCCCCCACAGAAGAAATAAAATACTATTGAAATTTGGGGTAAAATCTTCTGGGCTTTTTTCCCTCAGAGAAAGTCTGAAAAACATGTAATGTAGGTTGAAGATGATGAAATGGGTGTGGCAAGTGGTTGTAGTTCATCCATTACACTTGCTTGTCCCTCTAATAGGTTGTACTAAAATAACAATGTTCTTACCATATCTTAGATATCTATATTATTGTTTAAATTTAGATGGCCCTTCAGGAAAAAAGAAACGCATGGTATGAAGAATGACTACTGGAAGAATGCAAGACATCTTAAATATTTGCCTGTCATTTTTTGAATAAACATTCCTGTGGAATTTTACAACCTGTATTGGAACTTTGGAGAATAATCCTCACATATGAGCAATCAATACACCCTTTTTTTAAAAAAAAAATTCCAAGTGCCTTGGTTCTGTATCCTGGTTTGCCTTCGGAGAGTTGCCACTGTGCTCATTCCACGTTAGGCAACTGGCTTTGTTTTACTTCCAAATACTTTATTTTACATTTTTAACAACTATGTTCAGCAGAACCAACAGTGGAATTTCTAGATGGAAGAAAGCTGGAATACTACTTGCTCCAGGTAAATGGAACAATCTTTATTTATTCTGCATTACACAAAATGCAGCTTCATATATGAAGAGAACTCTGTCTCTCTCACACACCAAGCTGGCCCTCCTTTTTGTACAGTGATCATACAGCCATTTCTCATGTTGATAACAAAAAGTGTCATGTGATAAACACTATGGCCTAATTTCAATTCCTAATCATAGCTACAGTAGACCCAGTGAATCAATTGCTGAATGGTAAATCAATAGTAATTCAAATCCTATTGATCCAGTGGCTGAAATCCTGTTGCACAGCTCTGCATGTGCAATGGCAATGATATAATCAGTGGCAAATCACACTAAAAACTTCTTTTGGCAATGTCGGGGTGCATGCAACTTTGTTGTATTTTGCACTCCAAAACAACCTTTAATCAGTGGCAATTTGCCATTGGCAATGATATCATACCACTCCAGATGCAGAGCTGCACTAGAGGCTTTCAGACAACAGATCAGTTCTAATTGGGATTAGCAGCAGAATGTAGGCCTATATTCTCAACAAATCAATCAACAAAAGGCTTATCAATTACAAATCACCTTCTGTTCTATTATTTAAAGTTATTCAGGAACCAATTACTTGCTAAAGGACCTGTTGAAAAAGAATAGCCTCTTGCTTTAAGCTTTAGGCTGGAATGGCTAACTTTTGGTCCTACAGAAGTTATGGGATGGCAGTTCCCACCATACTCAGTCCATTTAGTCAGAAGTGAAGAATACTAACAGATACAACTGACTAGGAGGGCTGCAGTTAAATCACCAGTTTTAAAGCCTAAAGGAACTTCTATTTTGGCCATTCTACCACCTCTTCTGGTGTGCTCTGGTCCATGGAGTCATGAAGAGTCGGACACGACTTAACGACTAAACATCATCAACAACAACCTCTTCTGCCATTCAGTACCATTACTGTTCTGTCTCAATGAAAAGTATTCAGTTCAGCAATGAAAATTCCTAAATTGCAATTTTCCCTTGGTTTGCAAGTAATTTCCTTTAAGCCTGGTTATCTCAGAGTACAAATGACTGAATAGGATATTTAATTAATATCAATATTCAGACTTGCACCATTACTTCAAGCTACTAAATCTCATAAGCAGCAAACAAGGGAAAATGTGAGTCCCTCCTCCCAAGTTTTCATCTCTGCTTTGGAATCAAGAAAGAACAACATGGCTGCCATTAAGAAACGGTAAGTTGGTTTTGCTATTGAAAGAAATAAAATTGTGTAGGTTTTTAAAATCATGATTGTAAAGAAATTGCTATTTTGAATTTTGATTTGTCCACTAATAATGAATTCCTGTTTGGGATATATATTTGGTTCTTCATACAGTGCGTTGTTTATATCTTTAGGACCATTAACAGTTCACAACAGCTTAAATTTTGGAATTATTTCAGCAATTTTTATATACCTTGCTTGCCTTAATTTCAACTACTTCTCTAATGTAAAGCTGCAGGAGTAGAAAATGGCTGAATTTAAAATTGAAGAGTATACTCCTGTGTACGCTAATGTGGGAGAAAGCTCCACTGAGTATACGCACAAAGGAGGGGTTTGTTAGGCATGTATGCAGAACAGAATGGTCATAGCTAATACATAAGGGAATACAGTACATTTTTCAGTAAGCCCCTAATTTAAAATCCTCTGGGCAGAGGAACATAGTAACATGAACTATCATATCCTTACTTAATGTAATTATTTACCAAGTACATTTATAACCCAGATTTTCTTTATAAGCTTGAACATTTATTGTTCTGCCACACAAATTAGAAAATAACCAGCCTATAAATGCATGCATGGTCATTTGTGATGACAGACAAGGTAGAGGACTAAAATGAAAAGCCAAGGATGGAGTACAGCTTAACCATTTGTTCAAATCTAAAATTCAGCCACTTCAGTATGACACAGAATTGTTAACTCTGATACTACAACTGTACAATGTCATTTACATTGCTAAGATACTGCCTTTCTTGTTAATCCTGCAGTCTTATAACAAAGCAGCAAAGACAGCATTGTGCACCACTTCCAAAGACTCCTTCTCTACAATAAGTATTATCCAGATATGTAGTCACATTCAGAGTCAACAGAAATGGAATATGTCGCTAGTAATGTACTTGGCCAATCTATTCCAGTGGAACTTGAGCAATTGTCTCTATTGCCCTAGAAGAGCCTACTGGAAGTCTAATGTTATTACAATATGAATAACCACACATTCTAATCTATGAACATGAGCTTAAGAGTCTAAAAACATTTAATTTTGATTAGTATGGAACAGTTTTTTACAGAAAAGACACAACTAATTGAAATCAGTGTCTATCTTTAGGTTCAGTCTTGCTCACAAATTATTACTAGCCTGTTTTCCATTTGGTTTAGAAATATTTGATTTTATTCTATCATCTTCAGTACTTTGAAATCATTTCAAAATTCTTATATATCTAATAAACAAGGTCTTATTTTATTTGTAGAGCATCTGCTAAAATCAGAAAATAAATTCTTATCCAGGTTTTTGGTTTATAAAGACACAACCTTGAAGAAAATAAATATTTAATGTAGAGGCTGATTACTAAAACAAAATTTGTTCCCACTGGAATTCAAGTACTTTCAGTATGTTTCTGTTTATATATGTAGGTGATGCAAATGAGTGAGTAGTTATTGCACACATGGAACATATGCTTATGATTCTTTAACTGAAACAAAATAATAAATGGCAAACAGGTGGTTGGAAATAATACATTTTTGCACACATATAAAAGCTTGTCTGTCTATTCTGTTAATGCATGAAGAACCACTTAAAATTGGCAATGTACCCCTTTCACTTTTTGCACTAGAGTTTGAATATGTGTTTTGTACAACTGAACATGCCTCATGGCAACCAGACAGAGGTCATATTAACAGTTAACACAATCTTCAGTGTTACTAGTGTAGAAAAATGTTCAAAGATTCTGCCTGTGGCCTGTTGGGTACTAAATGCAAGACTCAACTTCCAGTGGATGTTGAGAAACATCTTCTAGCTGTTTCTGTAAGAAAGCCAAGCTTTGTGAGCATAACATAGACCCTACTTGACAAAAGAAAATCATGTGCCATTTCTCAGTTTGAAAACTGGTCCAAAATCACACGAGAAAGGGGGAATCATGAACAGAACTGGTTATTTTTAAAGCCAACATTATTGGTACAATCCAGTGACATTTAACTATAAAATCCTATACTGCTACACAAACATGCATTGATCTGTTGTTCCAGATTACTTCTGTGCAAATGTTTTAGACAAAATATTCATTACAAGTGCACATTCACATAAGCCAGGTTCTACCTTAATGCAACAGATATGGTTAAAGGTGATTTTATAGCAAGGGTTCAGCAAGAGCAGCACTAAATCACTACAAAAATCAACTAAGAAGTATTTACACAGGCAAACCTTTATAATTTATGATCCATAACACAGTTGCAAAAGAACATCCTAAACTGCCAGTGTAAAGAATTTAACATAAAGCAAGTTGCTAGGATACTTTCAGTGCATTTGTTTCACACATTTACTCACACATAATACCGGGGGGGGGGTATTTCTAAAGCTCAAAATGTATTGCACAATCACAAAATACTCATTTATACATAATCAGTGGGTGTTCACTCATGCTTTCATAATGTACTGCATCAGTTTGCAAACAGACTGTACCCAAATGCTAACATTTTTGAACATATCCTCAAGGAAACAAGGTGATACTTTACAGAAATAGCTGCAAGAGTCCATTCTGAACCATGCCAAAATGCTGGAAGAACCCTCTGACTTGAATCTTAAGCTCAATCCATTCTAATCTTCTGGTTGGTCATTCTATAAATGATGCTGTCATAACCTGGATCCATGTTCCAGAGATTGTAGGAGATAACAATCACAGCTATGGCAAGACCTATCATAATCCAGAACACTATGTTGAAGACAACAGCATAGTTGAAGTTGTATGGATATCCTAAGTTATATGGATTTTCAGGTTTGCTCTACAACAAGAGAAATTATTGCAAAAGAGAGAGAGAGAAAGAGAGAGGACTAGGTTAATTGTGCCTTAAAGAAACATAGTCAATATTATGGGTAGGTGAGAGAGACAAAGTATAAGTTATACAGTACAATGTTTGCATCAAGTAGCCAGACAGGCATTCATATTCTTGCAACGAAGGTCCCAAAATACCACTTTGCTTTATTGCCAGTCTTGGTTTGCCCTCACTAGTTACTGGAGTCTACATTCCTGGTTAAGCCAAAATTGTAGCCAACAGTCCCATCCCCCAGTTGTCATGGTAAGGAATGGGCCAGTGAGGAGTGTGCCAAGTTGGACACTATTGCTTAGAAGGCACATTAAATACCATTGGGCAGCAGTTCTAATCCTCCTCCACTGGAAAATGTGGCACTATATGGCCAATACTCACAAGGTACTTTGGCTGGCTACCTACCAAACAAACTATAGCTTTCCTCGCAACTTTGGAGCTGGAAAGTTCACAAGGATCACAGTATAACTGCAGGGATAATTTTTGACACTTTCTGCAGTTTCAAAACGAAGATGTGCTTAGGCTTGTCAGAGGGTGATGTCCCATCCGCCATGGATGCAGCTTGCTACTGATGTTCCCAACTACCAAAATATGCAGAAATAGCTTTTATGTTCACCAAGGCACTGAGACAGAAAGGCAATAGCAAGAGGAATTCTTGCTGTTGCTGCTTCTATTCTAGTTGCAGTGCTAAGAGTATTATCAGAGGCTCCAGGAAGTCCTTGCCATGGCCCAGGGCACGTCTCAGGTGAGTGGAACAGAAAATACTGTAGCTTCTTTCAGATAACATAAAAGTCCAACAACACGTTTTCCACTCCTTAATGTACAATATAATAGCCTTAGAGCTTTGTTTATAGAGTTCATGGTTCATTAATATTCTGAAATTTGTGACAATCTCAAAAACATGATTCCAGAGCTTTTTGAAGTAATATGCAAATATTAAAGTCAAACTAGGCCTTTTCCCCAATTTCTTAATTTTAAAGTTTAGAAATCAACAGCTGTTTCCAGTTTTTCATATCTAAAGATCATTTTAGAAAAACGTGAAGTAAGTGCATATATATATTTTAACATCCACAAGACTTCCACATAACTATTTAGGATCAGAGTGTTTAGTATACTAAGGGCTTATCAAACCTGGGAGGTTGACTGCAGGATGGATCGTGACTTCCTCACAAAGGGAGTATCAAATGTCTTCACTGTCACTACTTCTACTATTGCATTCCCACCATAGAGGTTGTACATCTCATCTGCAAACTGAAAACAGTTTGAAAACTCAGAGGTTAACAAGCACAGACGCACAGATCTTTAAAAATATTTCTATTCCATCCTCTATCTGAGATCCCACAGTAGTGTCCAGTCAATAAACACAACTTTAAAATGTGTCTAAAACAGAAAATAAAATCCACATTCTAATAGGTCAGAACCAAGACCAAGAAGTTACAAAATCCTGGGTGGCTGCCAGGTTTTAACTCATCCCTGAAATGAGGCCAACGCCAATATTAGTCCAGCTACCAATGGTACCCATAGTGACTGAGTTGTCACTGAAAAGTGGGAACTGCACAAGCCTCATGTTATTTGGTTCTATATTTCATAATCTACCCATTATACCAAGATTTGTTAAGTTTTCAAATCTAGATAGAGTGATCAGGAGCACTAGTCAGAAAGTTGTTGCACACGAGGGTTGAACAAAACAGGGCAGAACTACGTCATACAGATTCTTTGTGAATGATAATCTCTGTATATGCCTAGGAATGCTCTTGGCATCCCTTTAGAAACCTGGTACTGGAAAAAAAATCAGTATTTTTCAGTGAGGCAGAATGAGACTTTGGTATGAAAAGAAAAGAAAGCCTTTGCCTAAAGGATCTCTCTGGATTGCAGTCAAGAATTTATAACGATCTACAACACCCCCCCCCAAAAAGCCCAAACCACTTCCACGTGAAAGCATACAATTTATAATACAGTGGTGCCCCGCATAGCGACGATAATCTGTTCCGGAAAAATTGTTGCTATCTGGAAACGTCGCTATGTGGGGGAGAAAACCCCATAGGAACGCATGAAACCCGGTTTAATGCGTTCCTATGGGGGGAAAACTCACCACTATGTGAAGATTCCCCATACGGCCGCCATTTTCACCGCCTCAGTAAGCGAGGGCAGGGCGCGAAAACGCTGCGGGCAGCCATCTTCTTCATCCGGTGGCCATTTTGGAACCGCCGATCAGCTGTTGGGGAAACATCACAATGCGAAGATCGGTAAGCGAAACGCTTACCGATCATCGCAATGCGATTTTCGCCCATTCAGAACGTCGCAATGCAATCGCTTTTGCAATCACTAAATCCGCATCCGCATCGCGGATTCATCGTTAAACGGGGCGCTCGCTATGCGAGGCACCACTGTACACTAAAATAGATAAATATATTAACATACACAAAATATCAATAGTGGTGCCTCGCACAACGAGTGCCTCACACAATGATGAATTCACACAACGATGCCTTTTTCTGTTAAATTTGCTGCCTCACACAGCGATGTTTCCTATGGGGGATTTTCACACAACGATCTCCCTTTTCGCTCCTGTAAAAGTGTCTTACAATGTTTGGACGCTGTTTTAAATGATTGCAATGGTTAGTCCACCTCCTGAAACCTATGCAAACTGATTTTGGTGTTGTTCTGACACTTGTTAATTTATGATGATTTTTTGTTTTTTCCATTGGAAACCATTAGACAGACCATCCAATGGTTTCCTATGGAGATAATTCAAAAAATCATCATAAATTAACGAAGTGTCAGAACAACACCAAAATCAGTTTGCATAGGTTTCAGGAGGTGGACTAACCATTGCAATCATTTAAAACAGCTTCCAAACATTGTAAGACACTTTTACAGGAGCGAAAAAGGACTTCGCAAAGGCATTGAAATGTATTGAGTCGGCTTCAATACATTCCAATATAGGAAACATTGTTTCACTCAACGATGTTTCCTATGGGGATTTTCACTGAACGATGGCAATCCGTTCCAATTGGAACGGATTAACCGGTTTTCAATGCATTCCTATGTGAAATGGTGTTTCACAGAACGATGTTTCACACAACGTTGATTTTTTTGGAACCAATTAACATTGTTGTGTGAGGCACCACTGTATACAATAGAACTATCCTATCATGTAAGATTACTGGATAATGTCTAGTCTCTTTACCTTTATTGTACTGCATAAGAACATTACCACTGTTTTAGTAATGAACAAATCTCTGTCTTAAGAAAACAGATTCAGTTCTAGCCCTTTTTAAAAAAATCCCTAGTTTAAAGATCATGTACACCAGTTAGAGTGCATATGGTTATATAATAATTTCAGTAATATTCTTTCTTTCAAAACTGCCTGAGATCTGATATGTGGTCTGGGGACACATTCAATGAAGCTGTATGGTAGCAAATTCATGTGCTACATGGAATAAATTTGTAATAAACAGTGCTAATGGCTGATGCATTTTTGTCCTTATGTTGTTTAGCAAGATATTTACTCATGTTACCTTTTGTAAGGAGTCTGCAAGAATTTGAGAAGCATCTTTGAACTGCTGTGATTCTTCCCCGTAGCGTTTGCCAATTTCTTCTAACCCAGAAAGCTCTAGAGAATACAGATCTGGTGAATGATCCTTGGCTAGATGTTTGTGCCTAGAGAGCTTGGGAAATAACAACAACAAAAAACCAAAACAAAACAAAAAGCCTAACATCAGAAGGATGCCAAAGTGAAGCAAATATTTCCAATTCCAGGAAGCATCATCACCCACCACCGTCTTTTAGAGGAACACTAGTGTCAAGAATCTCTGTATTTACCGGGAAGCACTCCTTGCTTAACAACAATGCACATGTTCTCTTTTCAGTCTCAGACTTCCTCAGCCAGCTGGCACCAAGCCAGCTTAAGAGAATTACATGAACAAAAAATTACATGATGGCTGCTGCCGCTGTGCCTGGGGCCAAATGGCAGTATTCTTTTGCCCATGTTCTGCCAATGGACTATTGGTTGCCAATGTCATGGTAGAATTAAATATTTGTTTACAGAGTCTTTGCTTACCAAGCTTGTGATATCATGCAAAACTTGTAATTCTGATAAGAAGAGTAGATCAACCTGAGGAGAGAACAGGTATAAATATTTTCTGAACAGGAACTGCAAACATTTCAGCCATAGTGAAGAGTCTCAACACCAATTCAGATACCACAGTAGTAACACAGACGGCAGCTGTGAGCTTCATTCACACACTTCTACAGTACTGACTTATGACTGAATGTACAAACAACTGACCTATCACAAGTCTTAAAATCAATGATGAGGACCATACATACTGTGCCTCAGGGGATAAGCAACTAGAATGACAGTGAGTGTATACTTTTTAATATCTACATGAACAAAGAGCAAGTGCTTATGAAAATATGCATGTACAAAGAGACCAGAATGTATTTTTTCCATTTGAAGAAATGGGAGTAATAAAGAACTAGAGAAAATATTTTAATAGCTTGTGTTTAATGTTTATCTTCAACTTACCTCATTGTTTCTGCTTAATGAGTTGAGGGGAAGAGAAGCCAGAATGGAATTATCCTGGAATAATCTATTCCGAAGCTGCCGGAGTGTGACAGAAAGATCCTCAAATACAGAGTTTGCCTTTCCCACCATATAAACTCTCTGAAAAAACCACAATGTACACTGTGAACTAGAATTACTATTGAGACTTTTTGATAAGACGCATTCACTCAAAAAGCAATGGTTTCTGGCAAAAAAAATTATATACAGTACACACACACACACACACACACACACACACACACACTTAACACACAGACTTCTGCTTACAAGTTATGTGCAAAGCATGGCTTAATGGTCTCCAGCCTTTCTGAGCTCATGGGCATGAAATATTGGGGAAGTTTCATGGCAACCACCATGAAATGGCTACCCTGGAGAGGGAACATTCACAAAATGGCTGCTGTGCTGGACAGAACCAGCCACAGAACACTCATTTTGCACCTCAAGTGTCACAGATAACTTGCCCAAGACACTGAACGTACAGAACTAGGGTCTGAACTCCAAAATTAAACCTCATGCTTCAGAACCTCCTGTTTATTTTTGGGTAACACTCTCTCAAGGTAAATATGCTTTCAGGGACATGTAAACAAAGATTCACTCCTGTCAGACACCTCACTTTTTACAGGATCACTGTCCAAAGATATTTTCTGTGCTGTTTCCCCAAATACCAGGACAGCAATTTGTTGACTAAGGAGATGGACAGCAGGGAATACCACACTGTTTCCCCAAGAATCAATTTTTGGGGGCAGGTTCCCTCCCTTCTCTAGAAAGGAACTGCTACTCACCTCTTCACTAGGTGCTAGCTGTACAACTACAGGAGTTTCCTCTGAAAACAAGGTATGAATTGTATTTGCAACACCATCCAGGCTGAAAGGAACTGCCTAAGACAATAAGAAAACACTACTATAGAATTCTGCCTTAGGTTTAGGGAAAATCAGAAGATCATAGCTTTGCATTATGTACCTCTGGTTATGAACTGACCCCAGCAGCATTAAGACAGAAGCCTCTACAAAAATCACTGTCTATGTAGAATTGTTGATGCATAAAAATACCCAGTGCCCACCAAGTTACAAAAATGTGTAATTTCAGAACCACAATAAAAACAGTTCCTGTCTAAAACAAAGAGGATGAAGTCACAACTCTATGTTGCAATAATCAGAGTTATCATCTTTAATAGGCCTCTCCAAATGTGTCTTTAATATGTACAGTTGTGAAAGAACCCAGAATCATGAGGCAGCTTACAAAACAATACTCAGGAGCATTAGACTCTCAGGAATAATACAAAATATAGCATGGTCCTTTATAGGTGTCAGGTTTAAGAAGTACTTATACTCAAATAAGTTGATAAAGATCGTAAAACTCAAAATCAGAGCATCATTATACATGCCTATGCTTCCATTAATTTCTACTTAAATTTGAATCTTGTAGATTTATTTATTTATCAATTTGACTTGTATGCCGCCCACACTCTGCAAGAGTCTCCGGGCAGCTTCCAACATCAATTAACAATGTCAGTAACGTCGGCGCCAGTTGGATGTCATTTGGGAGGGCATTTCAAAGACTGGGGGCAGCTGCCGAAAAGGCCCTCCGCCTACACGCCATCTCTCTCACCTCACTGAAGGATGGCTCTTTCGGGAGGGCCTTCTGCCTAGATCTCAGTTGCCAGGTAGATTTCTATTTATCTATTTATAAAGTTTTCACTTCATATCTGTGTGATGATTCACAACTAAAGTAAACCAAAAGTAAGCAGCAATTTTTATAATAGCTAAATAAATAAAATAAGCTGGCTAGCATAAAGTATAATCTTATAACTCCCCATTTCCTGTATAAAGGTTTTAGCTCCCACAACAGGCAACAGAATTACAAGAGGACTGTACTTACATTCTCAATTGGGTAAGATATGCCATTCTTGGGCAATGTCAATTTGTCTATTCCTTTCACGGTAACAAGAACTGTAGCTCGAGGTCGTCTGAAGAGATCACCTACTGCCAGTCCAGGCCAAGAGAGATCCTGTAATCAGTCCAGTTTTTTTTTTTACTTTTAAAAAATTCAGCTTCTTAAAATAAATAATAACAGTAAAGCCACACTCACATGAGAAGAAATTTTAATCTATAAAAGGGCACAGAGGAGAAGGTTTGTACTGCATGAACAGATCATGCCCCGTGGAACATTTACAGATGAAATACAATACATATCTTACTAAAATAATAATCTATTCTTGATTTTGATAAGCATGCTTCGTATAACAGAAGCCTGGGGGGAGGGGGGGAAGAATAGTTATGCTGTTTATTCAATCAATACTGTGAAAGAGATGCACCAAGAGACAGAGATAAACTGGCTTGCATACATCTTCAATGGAGAAGCCCATGGATAACGCTGCCACATCTGGGATTCGTTCTCCGGGTATTGGCCAACTTCCTTCACGGAAAACAACTGACTCCGGAGATCTAAATACACTGAATTCATTAGCAGAAATACCTGAAATAAAAAAAAAAAAACAAGGCGAGTACACTTGTTCCTTTAACAATATGCTGACTCTATAAGGAAGCTTTTGGCTAGGCACACATGCAACAGAATGGACCACACCACTTCAGACAACAGGTAGGAGATGCTATGTTTGAATACAGTCATATTTTTAAGACATCTCTGCAAATAAAAGTGTGTGCACCACAAGAGGGTTGTAGCTCATGTTATGTGCATTCTGTGTCTTGAGGAAGTCTGTTTGAAATACAAGACAGGAACACTGACACGTATGCTGCCTCAGCTGAAGCAATGCAAGCTATTTTACCATCTTACAATTCCAGCATATTGTTTTGTAGATAATGATTTTGATCATAGAAAAGTTTTGATCTCTAGGTAAACTATTTATTTAATTCCAGACCAGTCTTAAGGAAAAGGAATTAATCTCAAATGGAGTACCAAATACTGTATGTAAGTGCGCCTAAATACAATAAATAAAAATGAAATTTTCCTGTCTTGTCTTTAACCAGGACAGGAAAAAGACATTCCTGTTCAAAGCCTTTGGTACACAGAGACCAAATGCAAATGTTACACACACTCTGGGTGCAAAGTCATAAGCATCTTTCTTTCCTAGGACATATAGTGCCAGATCCTACATTTCTGCTCAGCAGCTACTATTCCTGGAAAGCCCCTTCAAGAAACAATGGGTCAGCACCCTGTCTTAACACAGTGAAGTGTCTCACTGTCTAGTTCTGTTGCTACTTTATTGGACAGATCAAAGCTCCATAGCAGAGGCGGAAGGTTGGAGGTTAATCTCCTTCTGCCTTCAGTACCTAGTACCTCAGGATTAGGAAAGACCATTGTCCAAGACACATGAGAGGCTTTGCCAGACAAAGTAGACAACAAAAAGGTAAATGGACCAGTGTAAGGCAGCCTTTTAACTAATGCACCAGAATTTGAACATCTAGAGAGCATCTCTAAGTAAACCAGATTAAGCCCACAGTCCAGTTCTTTATTCCAGTCCTATACACTCTGGTGGCACAACTGGGAGCTCCACAAAAGTCTGGCAGTAAGACTAAGACCAAACCTCTAGGAGGCACAATTCTTTAGCTGCAGATTTTTCTTCTTTAGCAGTTTCTGACCATGTTAACCTTGGAAACAGGTCTAAACCATATTCATGTTTAGATGAAAACAGAGCAGGTATTGACAGTAAATATATACCAGTGTACAGCACCAATTTATGCCAAAAAAAAAAGTATCAGTAAACATCACCTTTAAGGCCACTTGAATGTAGGGCAAAGGAATAGTTCAAGACTTTATCATCGGTTAAAAAAAATCTCAGCATCTTTTCTAAAAGAAGCTTTTCTCCTCTAAATCACTCAAAAACTGTGGGGAAGGGGATCACTAACCAATTACATTAACAGTTTGAGAAGTCTATTCGCTGTGATATTTAATTTTTTTTATTACATTATAAGAAAACTGCAGGTGTTACCAGGTTCAGGATGGGGAGAAACTGGTTTGGCTCACATTTTAATGCAACCTTACTGATATGCACTACTAAACCTAATGTGTGAACATTAGGTTTAGTAGTGCATATCCTTCCATTTTTACCATTCTCTAAATTTCATTATATAGTTCTCTTATCAGGATTGTTTCTAAAAGTTTGTGTATTAGACCTGCATTAGAGGAAGAAAAATATGATTGCACAATATTATGTTAAACAACAGTATAGCAAATTTTAAGATTCCTAAAACTTAAGGGAAATTTCCCCTCAGAAGAAAATTCAGAAAGCATATACAGTATTTGTTTGGGGGGAGGGAATTTCTTGCTAATTTCCCTGTTCAGTTATGTACTCTCACACAAAAGTAATACCTACTCAAGTCAATGGGACTTATCTGGAAACAAAGTGATTTCAGTACAAGACATCACAATGTCCAGCCCCCTTTCTTCTATCTAGCATACAGGGTAACAAGCACTTCCTGAAAAACTGATTCACAATCATTACTAATATCCACCATTTGAGTACTGGAACTATTTGTTTTCAGCAATACTCTATTAAAAAGGGAAGATTTCTAGTTTTTAGACCCCAGCAACTTTGGATTTTCATCCTATGCTCTTTCAGAGTTCAGAAGACACATTTTCATGAATTATCACTGTGCTTGACCAACATATATACTATATATGCTGTATCTAAATAAAGTTGATTAATATACCCTACATGTTTCTCACAATATTGTTCTTTTCAAGGATTATTTCCAATCTTGTAGTTAAGATTTTTTCAAATTTTGTGACGGCACAAAATAATTATTTGAGAACTACTATGTAGAAGTGAGGGCAGTAAAATATCTTTAGATATCATAAGGACAAGAGAGAATACAGTACACATACATTTTATCCAAAAAGCAGCAGCAGCCTGCTGAGCTGAATAACACTGGCATATTCATAAGTGCTATGTGCCATCAAGTTCAGTCTGAATTATAGCAACTCTTGTAGGGTTTCCAAAATATATGAGATATTTATTTAATGAGTAGTTTTAACAGGGCCACCCTACAGAGAGTTTCAATGGCTAAGCACTGATTTGAACCCAGGCCTAGTACAACACTATTCACACCACACTGCATCATATGCCTAAAGATGTAAAATCTCTAAAATTTTCTATTTTTCCCCTTTAAAAAAAAAAACACATTTTCCCAGATTTTTTTTGCAGAAAACAAATTTTCAGAAGCTTTACATCTCTACATATCCTAACAAAATTTGTTAGTTGTGGAGGTACTACATTGACTGCTAATTTTTGTGCTGTAGACAAACGTTTATTTTTTGCAGACGTTACACTGGCTGCCAAAGCCATACAGATTACATTTGGATGGCTCAATAGCTCACTCGTCTCTTCCTAAAACTATAAACACCCCTGGTGCAGGCGGGGAGAAATGTCCCTTGACCCACAACCATGGGTCAGGGTCCCCCTCTGCCCTAAGCGCCCTCCGCCCTACCGGCTCGACCTTCCCTCCCTTCCCTTGCTCGGGCCAACAGCCGATGGAAAGGACCCAGCCTGAGGGCCACCTCGAGCCTCTCTTCTTCTTCTTCTGCTTCGACGGCTGTTTCCACCCCAGAGCCTTACCGGCCACAAGCGCTGACGCCCACCACAAAGCCAGCCCGGTCCACCGGATCCCCGCCATCTCTGCTCGCCCTGTCAACGACACCCCGAAGCTTCCCTGGAGAGGAGCAGAAAGAGGAAGTATAATCCAATCAGTCCCGCGGCCCAAACCTACGCCCGCCTCCCACAGTAATTGATTTATATCCTTGGCCATTCAGAAAAGGTAAATCGCGAAGCAGGCAGGAAAAGAGGCGGGGATACACATTGAGTGGCAAGGCTTTGTAGCCAGTAAGAATGCCAGATAAGACACGGCTTCAGCGGGTCACGGGACTCTACTGAGTTTCGCGGGGAGCGTCAGCTTGAGTGATCTTCGTATCAACCATTCATAACTCAGAGGATCCTACGCCTCATCCTCGGCACCATAGAGATAAAGTTCTCTTTTTTTAAAAGACCACTGGAAATATTCTATTTGGAAAGACATGCGTATATCGCGTGCTACAATAATCTACCAATCAAAAGGCGGGACCAAATCAGTTTAGTGACAGGAAAATAAACCATTCAGAATGCGATGAAACCTTCTCGCCTACCTCCCCCCCCCATGACATTTTTATTATGACGGCCTTTGCTTAAAAAAAAATAACGCTTCCGCTCAGATTGACAAGAGTAGAGCCCGATCAAATTCTGAAGGACTCCAGGGGACTCGTAATCCAATTATAGCGCTAGCAGGTTATTAACATAAGGCAGGGCAAAAGCTGATAACGTTGTAGGGCGGTGATGGTTCATGTTTTTGGCTTTTTCACAAAATATGAAAGGTAGGAAGAAACAAAACCTCACTGGGGAGGATACTTACAGTATTTCCTGGTGGTATACATACAGCATAAGCAGCAGATGGGGAGGTGGGCAATTATAGCGCTAGCAGGTTATTAACATAGGGCAGGACAAAAGCTGATAACGTCGTAGGGCGGTGATGGTTTGCGTTTTTGGCTTTTTCACAAAATATGAAACGTAGCGAGAAACAAAACCTCACTGGGGAGGATACGTATTTCATAGTGTTATACATACAGTATAAGCTGCAGGTAGGGAGGTGGGGGCGCTGCGGGTTAAACCGCAAAAGCCTCTGTGCTGCAAGGTCAGAAGACCAAGCAGTGGTAAGATCGAATCCACCGGACAGAGTGAGCTCCTGTCGGTTGTCCCAGCTCCCGCCAACCTAGCAGTTAGAAAGCATGCAAAAATGCGTGTACAGTAGATAAATAGGTACCACCATGGTGGGAAGCTAATGACATTCCGTTTCTGCTCGCGCTGGCCACATGACCACGGAAGATTGTCTTTAGACAAACACTAGCTCTATGGATTGGAAACGGGGATGAGCACCGTCCCCTAGAGTCGGACGACTGGACAAATTGTCAAGGGGAACCTTTACCTAGAGATGCATGCCCATGTGTTGTTTACCACAAATTCAGTATTTCAAATGTCAATAGAGATTGGCATCTATAAAACAGGAGGGGAGGGGAGGGGTGGGGTGCAGCAATCCCCCTCAAATTTGATGGTGAGCCAACAAGTTGACCTGGAAATAAACATTGTTTATTTTGCTGTGGTGGTAATTTGTCATACAATCACAACCACAGTGCCATCAGCGTGCAGGCGGGAGAAAAACTGTTCTTTGTCTTGAAGCAAAAGGGTTTATTTGTGTGTTTCGGCCTTCCAGTCACTCAGACGTCTGACAAGGGAGTCCTATAACTGTTTATCCAGCTGAATGACAAAAGATCCCGCCACACACATGCATGGGAAGGACCTGCGAGACAGGAACAGGGCTGTGAAGGCTAGCCCCCTAGATCTGCACATCTGACCCCAAACATTACATGCTGTTGCTTCCAATTCCTGATTAACAGCCCTTTGCCTGTCTTACAAACTAAGGGTTGTGGTTTCCTTTTTATTGAGTCAATTCATTTTGTTGGTTCTTCCTCTCTTCCCGCCTTTTCTAGTGTTACTGTGTATTCTACTTGGGTGGACAGGTTGATCACTTGGCTTTGAGAGGTTCCATCCTAGGGGGAAGGCCTGTGTTGGCTTGTGGGAGCCTCCAGAAGAAGGGAATGGCAAGTCTCTTTGTACTATTTTAGGAAGCTCTGGCAAGTGGAGCCTTAAGTCAGAATAAACTTGAGTACAGATTCTTATTGCCTTTTCCCAGAAGTCTTTTCTAGATATGTCCAGCATATGACAGCTTCAGTTTAGTCATTTTAACTTCTAAAGAGAGTCGAGGCTTGATTTGATCTCTGTGTGTTCAGTGCCATCCAGTCAGAACCAACTTGTATCAACCCTAACAGGGCTTTCAAGGTATGTGAGATGTTTAAGGAATGGTTTTACTAGTTCCACTCCCCCAGTCAGTTTCTATCCACTGCACCACACTCTTTCTGGCGGCCCATGTTATCCATAAACATTTCCCCCAATACTACATTTGGTGCACAGCCTACACCTATCTTGTGATGGAAAGACAGACCATTTGGAATACAAGTGGGAAACAAACTGGACATTAGCAGGAGTCCCTTTTTTTCTGAATAAAAATGTAAAATGAAATAAAATAACTGGATCAGTGTCATACTCAGTTTTTACTATATATTTTTGTATACTGACTGAAATCCTCTTAGTGTTCATGTAAGGTTGTCATAACTTGCTGGATTATCCTGATCTGTAACTTGTATTTTGGACAAGAAGCTACAATTAGGAGAGAAGACAGAGAAACAGAGTGGTTTCACACAGGCAAAGGTGTCAGATGAGTTATTTTATCTTCCTATCTGCTCAATGTGTATGCAGAGTACGTAATAAAAATAATATTTTGAAGCAGATTAAGTTGGTTTTATCCCAGGAAGTAAAACGTCTAACTTGATAAGGAAAATATTAAATCTGATAAATTGAGTTTCAAAACAAAAGGCTAAGACGTAAAATTTCAGTAGATATTTTTAAGGCATTTAAGAGTGGTCGTTTCGACCAGATAGGCGGGATATAGAATGAATAAATAAATAAATAAATAAATAAATAAATAAATAAATAAATAAATAAATAAATTTGATTCACTGAAATGGCCAACATCGAAAGTAGTCATTAAGGTTTTGGGATTTTGTAAGTGCATTAAAGGAATAATCGAACAACTGAACTCGGAGAACACTGCAACAGTGCTAGTTAATGGTGGGACAGCAGAAGATCTCTTTAGGCTGAGGAACTAGCCATCGGTATCTCCTGTCCTCTGTACTGTTCGCTTTAGTCATTGAACTATTAACAAATACTATTACAGAAGATAAAAAGATTTTAAGTACAGTGGTGCCTTGACATCCATAATGCGTTCCAGAAGATGGACATAACTCAAAATGGTCATAAGTCGAAGCACCATTTCCCATAGGAATGCATTGAAATGCAATTAATCCATTCCGGACAAAGAAAAAAAATCAGAAAAAAACCCCACCACCACCACTGCAAAGACTCATTGGAAACGCGATAAATCCCTTCCGCCCGAAGGGGGGGGGGAAGGAAAGCAATCAAGTGTGCAAGACCCATTGGAATTGCACAGAAAACAAATGGAGCAGATCAGAAATGCACAGAGAACAAAGGGGGCAGGTCGAAAATGAAAAGAAAATAAAGGAAAAAAGCAAGGGATGCAGGACCCATCAGAAATGGGGAAAAAAACAAAAAAAGCAACCAACCCCCCCAAGACCCACAGGAAAAGGGGGGAAGCCAAAAAAACCCAAACCTCCCAAGACCCATAAGAAATGGGGAAACCCACCCCCAAAGCAACCAAACTCCCCAAGATCCATCAGAAATGGGGGAAAGTAAAAAACAAACCAAATCCCCCCAAGACCCATTGGAAATGGGGGAAAAAGCCAACAAACAAACAAACCCCCCAAGACCATTGGAAACACGCGCACACACTCACTCACAAGCAGAAGGAGGCAATCCCAAGTCTCCTCAACACACACTCTCTAACTGCTGGGGCGAAAGAACTACAAAGAAGCAGCCTCGTTGCCATCTACAGTTAGCAATTTGAATTTCCCGCCTTTTTTCCCTGCCTTTTTCTGTTCATAAGTGGAAGCTCCAGTCGCAAGTAGAAGCAAAATTTTGCAGCTGGAGCTGGTCATAACTTGAAATGGACGTAAGTAGGGACGTTTGTAAGTCAAGGCCCCACTGTATTGGCATTAAGGATAGAGTTAAGATTAATTTATTTGCAGAATGATAACTTGTTAACAATAGAAAAACATATAAACATTGTAGCGAGGATTAAATTACATTTAAAGGAATTTTGAGAGGTACAGTAACTGGGTTGCAGATAAATGGGCATAAATCAGAAATGTTGTTTTTTAACTATAAAAGAGAGGTAATGGAAAAAATTAAAAAGATGTTAATATTTGAAAGACTATTAAGTATTTTGGTATTAATATTCCAAGTAATTTGGAAAGACTGAAAGAAGAAAATTTCAGAATATTGAAACAGGCAATTACAAAGAAGCTAGCTGACTAAGGAAAACTAGATTGCCATAGTTTGGTAGAATTTCAGCACAATGAATGAAGGCCACACAATGTGAATCCTCAGATTAGATGGTAAATGTCTCTAGGCACTTTGTTCTCGTTGTTAAAAGGGTATTATTAATTATTATTTGTGCAAAAATGCTTTTACATTTTTGTCTTGAATTAAGCCCCTGCTAGTTACTAGGTGGTCCAGGGCCTGACAAGGCATGCCTTTAGAATATGATTTTAAGGTTAAGCATACACTGTTTTATTTGATGCTTCACCACCCCTCCACCATTCTATACAGGGGGGAAATGTGTAACTTTTAAAAGTGTTTCACTAAGCCTGTGCCTCAGAGGTCTTGCTTCTAGGGTGTGCACTGTTTCAAATTCTCTAGGATAGTCTAGCAGAAAGCAAACTAGCCAGCAGGCTTGGAAAGGGGAAAAATTGATTGCAAGATTTATAATACAGTACTTGAGCTTTGAACAGTGATATTGACTAACCTTGCCAAGAATGAAATTAATCCCAGGTCAGTCATAGATTCACTTGGTGGCCTTGGGCAGGTTACTATTTCTCAGCTGCATTTCTTCTGGATATATAAAGCAGGAGCGATCATTTATCTGACAAGCTGTTGTAAGGACCAAAAATAAAAGACTGTAATTCAT